CACGCTTTGTGTTTATGGGGGCTAACTCCTCCAAGCCCATGCCTCTTGTCGGATAGGTGGCAGATATGCAAGTGATATGTTTTTCACTTGCTTATTGCGAGGAGGTATAGATATGTTGCGGGGCATTCCGACACGATACGTCGGAACGGCTGGCGTACATGACTTGCCATTTTCCTGGCTATACTATTAGACAAAATTTCATTGATAACGTCGAATGATTGGTTTAAAATTGGCAAGTTTTATTCTATTGGCTGCTACACTTTATACAAACTTCTAGTAATGTCGGAAAAATGATCATATTCAACCATAACCGCCCGCTACTGTGGACTTCCGACCAAAGTCCGTTGGTGGTATCCAATTTATTGGCCATGACACCAAAGTACACATGGCGTTACTTTGCCAGAAGTCAAAGTCGAACGTGTTCATGTCGATAACGCGTACTTCTCCCACTGGTGCGAGAGTCTTTCAAAACCCGTGCGAATTGATGAGAACCGTACTTAAGCCAATCCGTGAGCTCCTCGTTTGCACCGCCAATTTCGGTGCGCTCATGGCGGGCAAGGCTTCGATAAAAAGATATTAGCTCCCCGTTTCGGAATCTACTCCGGCCTACGCGCCGTCCCCTGACAGATTTCCGCTACGCTCCGGGTGTCAAGGCGCCTCTCAAAGGCCTCTATGATTTATGTTAGGTTGGAGTTTTCTCACCTGCCGAAAGAAGTGCTACTTCGTTGAGACTTTGTGTGACCAGCATCTAAAAGCTTACCGGTAAATGCCGGTACCTTAAAATATCCAGGGCTTCCCGGGTTACACGCGGCATTAGTTCTTTCTTTCCAGATCCTCTCTGAACTCAGAAATATAGTTGAGAAGCTTAGAAAACTTGCAGATGATGATGACTGAAATACGTACGGCTTACGTATTGTCGGGGTTGACAGTTTATAAGGGTCCATGTGATAGGTTATAGGCCCCAATTAGTGGATTACTTTTAGGAGTTGGCATTCTTCTCCTAAAAGCTTATCAGAAACTATCAGAAACATGCAACATGCAGCTTATCGGTCCCGCCACCAGCCGGTGGCGGCTCACCAAGCCCGAGAGGGTGGCCAGCGTCGCGGGGAGGCTCCGCCTCCTTGGCCGGGGCCCAAGGTCCGACTCCAACGAAGATGAATAGTTACTGGAACAGTCGGCACACACCATGTGTGCATCTAGTAGAAAGGCCACATGGTCTACAAAAAAACATCAGACACGACGACAGCTGGTCTTCGCGAGATGCTGTCTAGTTTATACAGTGCAAATGTATTTATTTACGCAAGCTTCTTTATCGTCACATCAGATGCAGTGGCTTTAGCACGCCTGATCGTGCTGCAAAAGGTGTTCCAGTTTTACTGTCTGATGGCCAAGAAGTCTGCATCAACGGATCTTCAGACCAAGATTTGCTTCAGTTTTTACAGAAAGCTGACATCGCAGTCAAGGTCTGAAGATCCAGAAACCACGAAAACATTGCGTAAATTATTCTTATTTATCCAACAAAGGTTTTCCATGCTATAGTTTTAGACTTAATTCTTATTCTTTTCGGTCTTTGGTTTTGTTTTTGTAGCTTAGTGGACGGTGTACGGCTTTTTGTGGGATCCAGTAATGCTTCTATTGCTGGTCTAGGAGCCACAGAGCATCCGCAACCAAGCAATCACGAGGCTAACGTTATGGTAGCCTCGATGAGCGATTGCCCGATGGGTAAGTATCCTCATTTCAATAATTTTTATCGGCCTAATAATCTAGGTAATGCATTTGTCCGAACACTTGATGTGTTCAAAGCCAAATTCGCCAAGGAATTTAAGAAAGCAGCTTGGCTCGACAAGATCCTAAGCCTACACAAGACTGTCCCCCACAAGAGCTCTTGATCAAACTCGACGAGTATGGAGCTGTCCAGATCGATATAGGGTCAAAGGCATTTATTGTTGCATTAGAGGTCTTTAGCAAAACCGTGTAATCGAGAAAAGTGGGTTAACCATACGGAATGTTTGCCTAACCACATCCACCAATCGATAAATGTCTTGGTTCGAACCCACCACTTGAACAACAAATTCCAGTTCAAGACCAGCTGTTGTAATATAAAAAATGGGAAGAGGTCTTGCTGGGAGAGGTGCGTGTACATGTATGACTGTGGCACGAGGTCTGGTGCATCGCGTCAATGTTTCAATACCAGCAGTACTAGTCACTGCAATTGCAAGCGACAGGTATCTAAATGACAATGAACAGTGACGAGAATCAGAGAAGCGGTTATGTTCGTTCCGATAACCACATTGTGGTCTTCGTTTGCACTATGTGCTAATGTAGCCCCTGATATCCGCCAGAAACTCGTATAAGTAACTTCAGCAACATGGAACACCACTCGTTCAACTCATCTAGAACGAGATTGCAAACTAGATTGGACATCATAACTCGACCACAGGACTCCTCGCACAGAGCTATAGAAATATAGATTGCTTATTTATTGTTCTCCCCACTGCATCACAATCAATTATTGCAATATTTACAGTCTCAAGTGGGATGATTGTCAATAGATTCGTGCATCCGTTACATTGCGTCAATGTCATCTACCTGGTTGCTCCACTCTGTATTCTTGGAGTTTTCAATTGCAGCTGATACGGATCCGAGTGTAACCAAGTCCCAGTTTAGCTTTAGAAACATTACCGTTTCCAAAGTGGACGCACTCATACTTTTCCGTAGGTACCCTATGGAGCTTTTGACCATCGAGGAAAATCGCTCCGCCACCACGAATGTCGTCGGGATCCAGTTAGCTTCGATGTACTTGGACTCCTTTGTCCCGCGATTTCGTGCCTTCTTAGCGATTGCTTGGTCAAGCTCCCCAGCAGTTCTCTTTCGCTTCGAGAGCGACGCTGGTACAGTATTTCGCCGTTGGTCAGATTGCCCGGCCGGTGAGCGCAGTAAACGAGCAACTGCATGCCTCTCCGGTACAAGCAGCGTTTTTTCGGCTCCACATTGAATCTTGGCCAACCCTGCTTCAAAGTCTGGACACTCAACCACTTCTCCACCAGCGGCCAAATAGTAATCCATGTCTTCATGGTCATCCAAAACAACATCGAAGGTGTCGCGCACGGTAGTAATTGTCACATCCTTGCGTTGAAGCCGGCATGCTATCACGTCAAAAGCACTCATTTCGTTGAGTACCGCGAAGATTTTTCGCTGCTCGCTTGGTGAGGGTATGAGGTCAACAAGTGGAATACGCCGGGGTTTTTTGGCATTTGGGTTGGTAGTGGAGTCGTCACCGTCACTTTCGTCGTCTTCGACTGTACAGTCGTCCATGAACAGGTGCATGTACGGCTGCAGGTCCTCAAAGCGCTTCACACACGCGGTAGCAGCCGCTCCATCGAAGCTCGTGCAGTGGAATAGGTTTGTAATAACATCCATGTAGTTTCAGCTTAGCCACCAGTCTTCAGCTTTTTCATTAAAGCACTAACCTTTTTAATGAGATGCATCTGCGGCTCTAACCATTTGCGAACAGCAAGATTGAAGCGGTGGGCCGCACATCCAATCAATAAAACCGAAATTCGACGGGAAATTGCTTTGTTGGTTTCCATGTTATCAGCTACGATGGCGACCATATTAGCGATGTCCAGCTTGTAGTGATCGAGAACCATGTCTAAGAATTCAACGTGCTCAGCTGCAGTCATCGACGCCTCATCTAGGAAAGGAGAGAATGCCAGCAATCGTATGCCATTTTTCGTGGCAGTGAAAATGGCAATAGCGTGCTCAGCAGCATCCGTGAAGCCGTCAAAGACAAGAGCAAACTTTTCACCTGATAATTCATGCATTATCTTGATGTCCACCACGCCAACAAGCGAAATCATTCTTTTCAGGGTCTTGCGATCCATTGCTTTGTATCGTACGACAGTACGGATCACAGGGTCGTCGATATGCGCAAACGGAAAGTTCTTGAGCGCAACGAGCCTGGCCCAGCCGTACGTGTCAGCAGCGTCCTTGTGAAAGAACATGCTGCTCACAGGAGCACATGCTTTCCTAATACACTCGCTAGACTCCTCTAGTAGACTAAAAAAAAACTTTTTAAAAATAGTTTTTAGAAAGCACATTTTTAATGTTGCTTTTTTATCATTTTTTTATTTTAACGCAAAAAATATCCAGAGCTTCCCGGGCAACGCACGGCATTAGTCATATTGGTGGAATCAATATATAATGGTTCTGATTGGCCTATAGGAGTACAGCGGCAATATTCGCAATAAGATTGTGGATTGTGAAATTGATCCAATCAATAATTGCAATCAGCAATATCCCTCAATCAGACAATCTATTTTGAGTAGAACTCACAATAGCAAAACTGTGTCGGTTCAAAATCGTGAGGCAGATGTTTGGGCAACTGACAAGTTGTTGGGTTCATCTTTAGCACAACCGCTCGAGTTTATTCGCAAACAAGTCTCATATTAGGATGGACAGTTATTTTTTTTTACTTTAGTTTGTTATTTATCTTTAATATCTCGGTCTAACAGTGCGAGGAGCAGAGCTGAGGAATGGGCGGACCTCAAACAGACCCAAATCGGCAAATTTGGACGGAATTCACAATAAAAAAACGTCAATTAACAGTGAATCCCATCTGCATCCCAATGTCAACTTCGCGTTGAAGTGGCACACGAAGCCTCTAAACTGATCCTGCTTGATCATCTCTCTGAGCAATCGTCCACAGAGCCGGCCAAGCGCTTCCAGGTGGTCATGCAGCCGTCCTGTGGACGCAGTTTCGGCATCCGCACCAGCTTCTGGCCGAGTGAGTTGTCCTTCTTGACCAGCACAAGTTAGTGCTTGTAGAGTCGACACTGTTTTTGTTTGACAATAATTGCAATTATTGCGCAACACTCAAGTACTGTAGATAGCTTTCATACGGGATGTATTTGTTAGGCGGCGCTGTGCATGCCAACACGAGCTGCCACTACTTCTCTCCTTTACAAAGCATAATGTGTTCATAGACTGCTACAATGAAGAATTGAGGGATAAACTGCCTTATTCAGCGCCCTTACAGCTTCTTCTTGGAGTCCTCCACAGCCGGCTTCTTGGGGCCGAACACGTACGCGCGAATGTAGAAGTTCATGAAGAGCCAGAAGAGCGACTGCACGTACACGAGGTACATGAGCGGCACCTTGGGGGGCATGCCCGGGCACTGGCGAGAGTAGGTGAGGTAGCCCTGCACGTTCATGGTCACGAACTGGATGAGCTGGATGCGCGTGAGGTACTTCTTCCACCAAATGTTGCGCGTGTGGGCGCTGACGAAGTAGTAAGTGTACATGATGGTGTGGACGAAGCCGTTGAGCACAATGGTAGCGTACGAGTCGCCGTCCTGAGCAGCGCGGAACGTCACGTAGTAGACAAAGAGCACGGTAAGGTGGTGGTACACGTGCAGGATCGAGAGCTGCTTCCACTTCTTGCCGAGGATGATAAAGACCGTATCGCACAGGTCGAGCATCTTGGAGAGGTAGAAGAGGTACAACACGTTGCCCATGACGGGGTCGTCAGCCTTGAAGGCGTTGCACGGGGCAGCGGAGTAGTTGTTGCGGTAGGCCTGGATAGCAGCCTCCACGCACATGTAGGAGCACGCGATGACCTGGATAGGGTTGTAGATGAACTGGATCGGGCTCGTCTTGATGGCGGGGATTCCCATTTTCATCAGGGCCTGATCAATAGCAAATTAAAAGAGAAGATAATAAAATTAGAGAACAATTGCCAAGATCGTCGGAATGGGGACATTGATGCACGCACCGTGCCGAAGATAACGAAGAGCAAGTAGCCAACGCAGATAGCGTAGACACTGGCAAAGTTGGCCAGAGGGTAGTCAGCCATGGGGTGGACCTTCCAGCCTCCTTCAGGGTCGACCCAGTCGAGCAGCTTGGCCTCCGTGGCGTTGGCCCACTCATAGTAGCTCTGCAACAGCTTAGTCGACATGGCTTCTTGTTGGCGAGGTGGTCGATGGACGTGCGAACCGGCAAAAGCGCGAATGAAGAGGCCGCTTCAGTTGCCGCCAATCACTTTTGCGTGTCAATAGAGTTCGAAGCGAAGCACCATCCGGCGGTTTGGGGTTCGGATCCAAGTGCCACTATCGCCGCCATAATGGGGCTAAGTGAATCGGATTACGGAGGGGAAATCGATGAATTTCAGCGCCGAGTTATGATGTCATGTATCATCACTAGCCACAGCGCGCCGCTGTCATCACCATCTTGAAGCCTTCCGCAAAGCAGTTTGCGCCCTTCGATGACGCAGAGGGTTCTCGAAACAACCAGGGCCACCCAACGGCACAGAGGATAGACACAGAGTATTGAACGCCATCCATCTTGCTGCTGGAAGCGTGTGCCGTGTTGCCCTATCTCATCGCGGACGACGCTGATGGAGTAGGTATGGCTAAAGGCTCAGCGCTGTAACAGCGAGGAACGGCTTGTGCACGCGGTTGCTAGCCTGTTAAAACAATTCTGGTGGTGGTGATGACGCGCTGTGCGTGGCATTGCAGCGCTGTGGTCAAGTACGTGGCGGTCATGGCGACTGCGCTAACGGCGATGTGGCTCGCTTGAGCGTGCATAACCCGAAAGCGGTGAGCCCTCGAAGCTCGCCCAATGCATTTGGTTATGGATTGCTGGAAGTTTTATCTGCAAGGGCTAAAATACGCGCTTTTCTAAAGCTGCCGCATGCGTAAGTGATAGCAGTAGCAACGCAAGTGACGAGGAGCTTTGGTAAACCAGGAAGCCCAAAGAGAATGATAACGAGAACTATGCATCGCCTGCAAGCGCTGCCTGCTGTCGATAGCGCTTGAAACTTCATTAGGATACTCAGTGTCCGTGGCTGAAGTATTGCTCGCGACTCAGCGAGGTTGCAAAGACGCACCTAAATGTAGCGCTCTGTATTAGCCGGCATTTAACGCTCGTTAGGTGCATACTAAAGAGATACGATTTCTAAGGCATCAGATACAATTTTTGCACTAGTAGGTTGTCCGGATTGATCAAGTTAACGTCTTCATTGTATTCTGGAGGCGATCATACAGACCATAGAGGTCTAACGGTTTGCGCTTCCTCTCGGACCATCTTACAGGCTCTTCTTAGCAGTGGAAACCTTCTTCGGCGCAAGGACGTACGAGCGCACGTAAAAGTTGACGAACAGCCAGAACAGCGACTGAACGTACACCAAATAGATGAGCGGGATCATCGGGGGCATACCTGGGCAGCGGCGAGAGTACATGAAGTAACCCTGCACATTCATGGTCACGAACTGGATGAGCTGGATCAGCGTCAAGTAGCGCTTCCACCAGATATCGCGGGTGTGCGCGCTCACGAAGTAGTACGTGTACATGATGGTGTGTACGAATCCGTTGAGCACAACCGACGCGTACGAATCACCGTCCTGCGCCACGCGGAAGACGATGTAGTAAATGATCAGCACCGAGAGGTGGTGATACACGTGCAGGAACGACAGTTGACGCCATTTCTTGCCCACAACGATAAAAACAGTATCACACAGATCGAGCATCTTGGACAAGTAGAAGAAGTAGAGCACGTTGCCCATGACCGGGTCGTCGGCTTTAAAGGCGTTGCATGGGGCTGGAGAGTACCCGTTGCGGTAGGCCTGAATGGCCGTCTCCATGAACATGTAGGAGCACGCGATGACCTGAATGGGGTTGTAGATGAACTGGATCGGGCTAGTTTTGATCGCGGGGATGCCTAGTTTCATGAGAGCCTGGTAGCAGCAGAAATTTAGAGACACCGTACGAGAATGACAAGACCTTTTCGAATGTGCAACTCACCGATCCGAACACGACAAAGAGGATGTAGCCAACGCAAATGGCAAGGACGCTGGCGAAGTCGGCTAGTGGGTAGTCGGCCATAGGGTGGACCTTCCAACCCCCGTCGGGGTCCACCCAGTCGAGCACTTTGATCTCGGTGGCATTGGCCCACTCGTAGTAGGTCTGCAACAGATCCGTAGCCATGACTCGTGCTTCTGCTCACTTCGGCAAAACTGCAAATGAATCCTACACGCGCTCCTGGCCGCACGTTGTGTGAAAAATTGGTGTTGATGAACATGCCTGGCAAATGGGTAGGTAGGCTACAAACCTGCACTTTGTATGGGGCTTTGTGAGTCTGGTGTCGAGCCCAATCATGGATGATCGAGGATACAATGCGTGAATTTCCTCGGTGTTTGCTTACAAAACCCAAGTCTGTAGTGACGTCATGACTAAGACGCTACGCGAGCGTCATTCCCATCTCACTGCCCTTGGTCATCACGGTAGATGACGCAGGATTACGAGAATGCAAAAAGTTTGTCAGGGTTGATAGCGCCACTAGTTCATTAAACCAAAAGCTTTCTTTAGAACACTATGCTGCTATCATCTCATTGTGTTGCAACTTGTCGTGACCGAATGCTCATCTTCTTACACTGAGAGTTGCAGTGTGCAACAGTTGGACAACCACATTGACTGGATGGCATTCATCACTGAGTGGTATCCACTTCAACTCGAAAAAAAGCAACATCGATAACAAGAATACAGCGCCGTGTTTTTAGGTGCAAAAGCCACTACAGCATCAGACGCAACTTCAAAATTGCAGTGACCAGCTCAAAAGCACTGTCCAGTCGTGGTGAATTGCATCGCTCTACATTAACCTAAACTAAACTCTGCAACAAGAGCACTTTCCAGCTTATCGGAACGTGAGCAAACCGAGCGTTCGGTCGTGGGAGACGCTGAACATGGCGTCGTATCGCGGGTGCCACGTAGCGTGCAACACCGTTTTATCTAAAAAAAAAAATAAAAGAATAAAAGCACGTTAATACACTTGCATACAACAAATAGCCACGAAAAAAACTAAGCACTTACGGTGCACGCGAAGAGATTGCTGCGGCAGCACCGCAGGGTAGTTTTCACCACGCATACGCACGTCCCAGATGTTCACCACACCGGTCTTGCTGCCACACGAGACGTGATAACCTGCCGGCGACCACCGGGGCACAACATACTGACTCATGGAGCTTCCTTCCCATGTCAGTGACATCCCGTTGCGGTCGTAGCGCTGACGCAGATCGTGCATCAACAAATTGTGTCTACTCTGCTCCACGGAGCTGACCAACAGGAGATTTGGATTGTGTGGATGCTCCAGCACCGCGTTGATCTTGGAGATGCTAGGTTTGCGACGCTCCATCACAACTTCAGTGCGACCCTTCTTGATGTCGTAGCGGATCAACAATCCGTCAAGGCCACCAGTATACAGACAGTCGCGTTGAGAGTGAACACAGAGCGACTTGACTTCACTGCGGTGGTCTCGGTGCAGCACAGTAAACTTCAAGTCCAAGCCACCATTCTGACTGTCTTCGTGTTCTTGCCAGAGTACAACGGCATGGTCCGAGTTGCCCGTAGTGACCAGTTGATGGCTTGTAGTCTCCGATCCAAACCCACTTGGCACCCAGTCGATCGCAGAAATACCCCGTGAATGCAGAACAGTGCGCTTTGATGTCATACGGTCACGTGGAATGGGCTGTGGCATGTCGCTGTCTTCCAGTTTGAGCTGATGGAGCTGCACAATGCAGAACTCTCCCTTTTCCTCCAAAGGATCACGGAAAGCCATCGCCATTCGGTTGCCATCGGGACTCCATGAGATGGCCTCGGCACAAGGATTATCACGACGGAATGAAGGTGGCGTGAGAGTCACAACCTTGGCGATGTCTTGGTCCTGACGTTGGTAGCTCCACAAAATAAGCCCACCTTCGTCAGGGCTTGTAGCGAAGATTTGGGGCTGGATCGGGTTAAAGGCTAGATGACGGCCCTTGCGAGAGCTGCCGTCTGGAATGGCACGGAAGCGGTGGTTTGCCAGTAGTTTCGGTACATTAGAGCGACCCCAGAAGTGGTCAGGCATCGAGTCTTCCACTGGAACGACTGCACTCTTGGTTGACGCAGCATTGTTCTCTAATTCTTGTTTCACTTCATTTGGGTCGATAATGACACAGTCATCGTCATCACTGCCTTCGTCGTCTTCATCCACGATGCACGGACGCTTGGAAGCTCGCGAGTGGCTACTGGATCGTCGAGTTTCACGTCGTTTGCTCTTGCTCCTGCTCCTGGATCGTCTCGAGTTTTTATCCTCTCGACTGCTATCACTGCGATGCGTTGACAGCCGCCGCTTTCGACGCATTTTCAACATATCCAGCTCCACCTCAATGTCGTACACCTCGATCGATTTGTTCTCGACGCGCTTCTTAAGCTTTTCCAGTTGCTCTTTGAGTTCGTCCAGCTCCTTTTTCTTCGGCTCTAATTCCTGTTCAGTGTCTGCAATGGCGTCCTCGATCTCCTGGAGACTACTACCGCTACGTCGACCACTACGCGAGGACTTTCTAGCCGATTTCTCCTCTTCGTCGCTAGTGTCAACAGCTCTCGAGCGTCTAGAACGTCGTCCACGACTCGGAGATCGCTCCCGTTCCTGTCCACGCTCGCGCGTTTTGGACTTGGACCGCTCCCGTTTCTTTCCACTACGAGTTTCAGTGCTCTCTGTGGCTCTACTGCCTCTATATGACGTCGTTTGCTCCTTCCGACTGCGCATGGGCGCCCCACCAGTGCGTCTGGCCGCTGATTTGGAGCGTTCTCTCTGACTATGACGAATTGCCGCCTCTGTGTCGTGTTTTTCTCTTGTGACCGACTTGGAGCGCGTTCTGGTCGATACTGGCGACAGGTTGCGGCGGTCTGTACTCGCCGACTGCGGTCCATTGTCCCAACGGCTCTTACGCGCACCGGGCGAGCGAGATCGCGCTCTGGCTGCAGTTGTCGACGGGGGTGGAGGCGCAGACTGGTACGGCTCAGGTCGATTGTAGTACCTGGCCTTGTTGGTGTTCATCGTGGTGGCGCTGGCTGCGCGATTGCTGCCTAGTGCGATGAACTCTTGGCCTGGCGTTTTGCGAGCCATGGCTCGTGCACGCGACTTGGACTTGGACCTGGCCCGCATGGTGATTGTTCCGTTGGCAGCTGCAGAACGGCGAGAAGTGGAGGCGACTGCACGCGGAGGGGAAAGCTGTCGACGTCGCTTGAGCGTGTCGCTGCGCTGGAAATCGGAGTCGGGGATGGAGAAGGTGCCGGCGTTCGCGTAGCGAGAGGAGGACCCGCCGTAGTCCCGATTGCGGCTCATGTCGGAACGGGACGAGGCCTTTCGGTTGGAGAAGAGTGATGGACGATTTTGGGAAGTGGGGATTGGTCGAAAGTGAGCGTGAGATGGTTGTTTTGGCGCCAAAATACAAAAGCAGAGTTTTTTTTGGCGCGTTTTGTGATGGAAGTGCTATGCTAAGGAAATGAGCAGCTTGCCCAAGCCTCCATGGGTAATCGTCGACATGGATGCCAAGAATTGAACAATTGCAACACTGCTGCTGAGATGTAGTTCTAACAAAATGATCTATGGGCTGCAACAACACGAGTGGAAGTAACGACAACGGTTGCAACAAACCAATATTTTTTTTCAAGTTGCTACATGTACTCGCAAAAGATTCAAAGGCACAGTCTGGTGTGTTAAAACACTAAGGTTACTTGCTGCACAACTTTCACTAACCAAGCTGAACATCTAAAACGAGCTGCGTTCGGTGTTCGATGAGCACAGGCATACTATACGTAGTAAGTCGGGTGCACTATCCTAGCTCGCTAGCATTGTGGCTAACGTTGCAGCCCGACACAACACTGTGTTACGTACACCCGTGTGGGCAGAGAGATCTTCGAGGAAGGATCTTGGCAGACTGCCACACCGTTTCATGGTTTGCTGTAGCGCAAGAGGCTGTCACACAATGCGGCAGAAAAGTCAAGCGCAGCCCTTCCGCGGCAGGTCGCGGCAAATGCAGCCCCCCGTCACTGCGTTGCCGCCCCATTTTAGCGGCAAGATCGCCGACAACACGCCGATGGCGACGCCACGGCCATTGTTACCTCGGAAAGCAACAATCCTGTGCACAACGTCAATGGCACAACATGGATGCTCCTGCCCTGACATCTTGCTCCATGCTGATTGGACATAAATCAGGTCAGATATCCAGTCTGACGTTTTGCAACATGTGGTAAAATCGTCCCCCAACCTCCCTCCGATTTACGCCAACTCGCGACTAATTAAGTAATTCCCTGTCGCCGCTGAAATTTCCACCCGCCCAACATAGGTCAGTTCCCATACAGAACGCAAGTGAAAGGGCCTGGTCTGGGCGCATTCCTGCATCTGCTGCTGGAGGTCGGCTCTGATTGACTCTCCCGCTTCCCGTGCATGCAGCGCAAGGCCGCAGCGTTCGAGGCCACTCCCGTCCACTCCTCGCTGGAAATGAGCAGCGAGACTACGGACTTTGAGCGCGTGCCGCCCGAAAGTAGCGGCGGCTTCGTCAAGATCGGCGGCCCGTTGCCAGACTCGTCGGACCCTCGCACCATCAAGGGCGCGTCCAGCGCTCCAGGCAACGGCCACCGCCTGTTCTACCTGCGCGTGATCGACTCTCGTAAATGGCACTACTCGGAGACATTCGCGCTGTTCCTGGACTTTTTCGTGCAGGTTTTGGCCATCTCCTTCACCCAGAAGGACTCGTTCCATGACGAAGTGGCGGCCAAGGCCTCGCGTCTCTTCTCTTCCGGTTTGATGCTCTGCTACTTCATCGACATGGTCATCCGTGTGCTAGGTCTGCGCCTCGCTCTCTTCCGATCCCACTCGAATATCGCCGATCTGCTGTGTCTTGTGGCCATGGTCGTGTTACTCGGCTCGAGATACGTCATGGGGGACAAGGAATACTGGCTGTGTCTGGGTTATTTGACCATTGTGGCTTGTCGTCTCATCCTTAAGCCCAGAGCCAGAACCTTCTCCAAGAAACTCCACAAGTTCCGCACCAATGGCGACCACATTCGCATCAGCATCGAGTCGCTACGAGCCTCATTGGCTCGTATCCCTGGCATCTCGGCCATGTCCATTGAGATGATGGAGACCGATTTGGTGATCATCTGCGGTCGTGACGAGGGCGACATGACGCGTGACGAGCTCATGAACTTCCTGGAACGAGCTCTCCACTACCGCCCTCCTACACTCTCGGCCACGGAGTTCTTGTCCCATTTGCGCGACATCGACGCGTCGTCGTCTACACTGGCCTACGGTATTATGGACGTCGTCCGCAGTACATTGTGGCACTGGTCCACACAGATCGCAGACCTTATTTTCTGCTTCTTCGTGGTGTGTATCAACGCCTCAGTGAGTCCAGCGCTGGCCATTTTCCTGGCCAAATTGTCGGATGCATTCGATACTTTAGACTCTGGAGAACCCAACGAGTCCACGCTCAAATTCGGTGTCGTAGGAGTACTGGCCTTGTGTGTGCCGTTCGTGCTCGGTGACTACGCTGTGGGCTACTTCCAGTCTAAAATGATCTCCAAAGCCACCGAGTCGATGCAGTCAGCCCTGCTGAACATCATTCTGCGTCAGGATACCCAGTTCTTCGCTGAGCGCTCGGAAGGTGACTTGAACAATCTTTTCTCGAGTGACGTCGCGCGTGTCAACGCACTATGGCAAGCTGTGTTCTGGAACCTGCTGAATCCGCTTTTAGCTGTGGTTTTCGGCTTCAGTTACGCTCTGTACATGGACGTGAGCATCGGTATCATGTCGTTTGCCTTTACTGCAGTGCTGCTTTCCAGTGGCCCGCAGGGTTTTGCAGCGCAGCGATCGAAGGAGTTTGGCTCTAGGAATGCTTACGTTGCTGCGGAGTTCCAGAACGCTGTGGGTTGTGAGAAGGTTGTGCGTGCCTACGCTATCCAGGACCCGCTCATTACGCGCTTTAAAAAGACATGCGCTTCGCTGCGTAAGAGTCAGTTCTCGAAGGACTTTTGGTCGAGTATTGTGCAGATCTACATTGAGTCTGCCATGTACATTTTCGTGGCTATCATGACAGCGTCGTTGGCGATGAAAGTGTGGCACAAGGACTTGTCGTCGGGTGAATTCTTCGGATTTATCACGCTGTTGAGTCGTGTGTCGAACCCTGTGACGGTGCTGGGTGGATTCATGCGTGTGGCTATCGGCAATGCTAGCAGTTTGCAGCGTGTTGACGACATTATCGTCGGACTGGGCTCAAACAGTGGCAAGGACGAAAACGACAAAGACATGCCACCGCTTCCCAAGATGGAGCATGATCTCCGTGTTGAGAAGCTCGTGTTCAAGTACGACAAGGCGTCCGAGAACTACATTCTCAACGAGTTGAGCGCTACTATTCCTCGTGGCTCGTACACGTGCGTTGTGGGCCCGTCGGGTTGTGGTAAGAGTACGCTGTTGGCCTGTTTGATGCAGTTCCAGGATGCCGATGGCGGCTGCATTCGTCTCGATGGCCACGATATCTTCAACTTTTCCAAGAAATCGTTCATGGACCAGACCGCCGTCGTGTTCCAGGATGGCGGTATCCTTAACGGTACGATCTACGACAACATCCGTTACGGTAACATCAGCGCTTCGAACGCTGACTGTGAAGAAGCTGCACGTCTGGCTGAATGCCACTTCATCAAGAACCTCAAGGACGGTTTTGAGACGGTCGTGGGTCAGCACGCCACATGCAACTTGAGTGGTGGTCAGGCGCAACGTATCTGTTTGGCGCGTGCTCTATGTCGCCGCCCGAGTTTGATGCTGCTTGATGAAGCTACCAGTGCTTTGGATCCTGAGACCGAGGCGTCGATTGTGGCAACGTTGGAGCGTCTTTCGAGCAAGATGAACATGACGATCATCTCGGTGACTCATCGTCTCTCCACGGCACTGAATGCGGACCAAATTTTGGTACTGAACACGGGTCGCGTTGCAGAAGAAGGTCGCTATGATGCTCTAGTACAGAAGGGTGGTCTCTTCTATGAGATGGTGCACAAGGTGGACAAACCGGAAGAGGAAGAAGATGCTGCTCCGGTGGAGAAGCCGGATATGGTTAGCATGACCAAGAGCCGTCGTCGTGGCACAGCGCCACGCAGAAACACCGACACGATCGGAGCTACTGGCGAGGAGCCGAAGCAGATGCAGGACAGCGCATTGGCATTGCAGCAGTTTACAAAGACTCTGAGCTCGCGTGTGGCCCATGACGTTGGCGATGGGAACCGTCCTGCAGGCACGACTTCGTGGTATCGCTACGGCAACCGCAACTCCCATCGCAGTCGCAAGACGAGCGACGACGGCTTCACATCTCGTCGCTCGGGCAACAACAGTGTCGAGGGTGGTCAGTGGTATCCTAGCCAGCATGACAACCGAGGTGCGGCGACGTCTGCGGCCAGCGAGGAAGAACGGAACAAGTACTTTGTGCTGTAGACATGTTCGTGCGGTCTTCACGTACTGATTTTGGTTATTTTGAAGCAGCTGCAGTGACTCGAGACCCGATGTCTGTCCGTATACCAAGGCTAGCTGCAATGATAGCTACAAGACCCTCTGTTTGCAGAGTCATTCGTAAGATAGTTTTCATTTCGCTCTAGCGAAGATATTTCTTCACAGAAGGAAACGTGTCGAGAAAAGAGTAAACGCCAAAAATCCTGACAAGTTTCAGGTTTTGGCGGGCGGAAATGCATTTCATGTGATTTGGGAATCAAGTGGCAAACTTTTGGTGTTAATCGAGTGAAAAGCAGTTCCCAGAGCGATACACTTCCCAGGAGCAATAAAGTTGAGAGAGATCTAAGCGATGGGTGACATAACAACCAGTCATTACATTTAGTGCCAGCACTAAGCGGCAACAGCCACCAATTCTTTAGAAACCCAAGGTAGCACGCCCATAAAACTGCTCGTCCTCTTCGGGCAAAGATTCTTCCAGTCCGTCGAGATTGAACTCCTTTGCTTGCTTGCTGTCGCCACGAGCAAGCATCTGCTTGTCCGTATCGCCACGAGGCCGAGGCGGCGGTAGTGGTGGGGCAGCAGCATTGAGTAAATAGGCGTTCGCAGCACGCAATGTTTTCACCCAATTGTTGAGCTCCTGAGGGCTCTTTGTGAAGAAATGCGACTGCTGCTCGTCCGTACACAGCACAAACTCCTTGCCGTATCTGAGATCCTCACACACCACCTCGAAACTCTTGTCGGCCAGGTTGATCTCGCCACGCACGACCGAATCACCACGTCGCTTGTAGTATTTGAGGAATCCATCGGCGGTGATAACGCACCATCGCTCACGGGCGCCACGCATGGTCTTCATGCCGCTGATGATGCCGCGGTCAGCCCACTCGGTCGGACCCTTGTCTAAGAAACCACTCAGCATCGGCATCTTCCCTCGAGTACTTCCAGGCGTTGAGGTGTCAGCGCTTGTGTCAGGAGTAGACGGACTCGAATGGTCCTTGCTAATTGACCCTGAACGTTTCGATTTCTTCGAGTCTGAAGGCGAGCGCTGACGACTCGAGTCGCTTGACGACTCGGTCGACGGCTTTGGTTTGCGAGAGTCGCCCCGTGAAGACGCTGTCCCTGACTTGCCCTTAGTTTTAAGTCTGTGGAGCTCATCCTGTGCTTCCTTAAGCTCTTCCTTGATCTTTTGACGCCTTCGCTGACACTCCTTCGCAAGTTTATGGTCACCCGATTGGGCTGCCTTGGATAGCGTATCCACCACAGATCGCTGCTTCTTACGCAGCTCCAAGATCTTCGCTTCGAGGTCAGCAAACTCCGATTTTGGCTTGCTAGTACCATTGCTACTACTCGTTTTTTCGTGATGACCACTCGCACTGAGCGAGGCCTTGTCCTTGTCATCAGTCTGCGATTGGTGAGAAGAGGAGGACGAAGATGTCGATGTGTTAAGACCTGTCTCCTCACTACCGAGACTGGCAAGATGCTTAGTGAGTTGCTCCATTTCTTTCTGCACCTTGTTCGCCTTGCGTTGTTCTTTGTTCAGTTCGTCTTCAAGTCCACGTCGTTTCTTCTTTAATGCCGACAGTTGCTCCTTAGGAGGAGCTGTGGGCTCAATACCAAAGATATCTTCTTCCGGAACACGATCTTCCTCTTCATCCTTGTCTTTCTGCTCCACTTTTGCGAGCTGCTTTTCCAGTTCATCTAACTGAGCTTGCAGTGTATCTCTCTCTTTGCGGAGTCGCTTGTTTCCAGAGCTCATTTTCGATATGTCGTCGTTTAGTTCTGTGTTCCGCTTGGCTAGTTCATTGGCCCGCACAAGTTCGGGGTTTTCCATGGCATAAGTCGCCTGCAACTTGAGATTCTTCATCATGACTTCGTATTTTTCCTTGTCGTTTTTCAGATTCTCGTTTTCTTTCCGCAGTTCCATTCGCTTGGTATTCAGGACATCAAACTCTGCAGACACGGTACTCCACTTGTGTTGCATACAAGTTAATGAGCGCAGCATCTTCTTGTTCTCAATTGTCCACATCTCCGTATGCAGTTCGCCAGTCACGAGTACACGTGTGTATTCCTGCTTTTGTTGCATATATGCACTCGATCCTGTAGCTGCTGCATCATTACCGGCGCCATTGTTGGCTTTGTCCGGGTCGGATTTACGACCGCCATTCTCCTCTACTGTTCCCTTCTGTACATCTGCAAATTTGATACGAACAGGTCGAGACGCGCTCTTTAACTTGGCCACGACCTCTTTATAGGTGAGTCCAGCCAGTGACGTGTCTTCAATGCTAATGACGCGCATGCCGATCGTCAGTCGCTTGTGGGGTTTGACACTCCAGTTGTGAAGCTCTGCAGGTCCCGCCTTGCCATTAATTTTGGGCAAATCATCCACTTCAGCCTGGAATTGAGGGTACAGAATGGTTTCCATCTGATGGACTTCCCTTAGACTCACTCCAAGTCGCCCCTCTTGGAAACAAATTTCCACTTCGCTCATCCAGTTGTACGTCTTTTTGATCTTGGCGCTCGATGTTTTCATGGGAGGTGGCACCCATTGTGTCTTGCCAGCGGGGGAAATGAAATAGTAGCGACCTTTTTGCGACTTGCTTTCTTTGCGTGTCCAGCCGGGTGGAAGTTTGTCATCACCCTCGGGTGTGGCGCTCCCTGTGCTGCGTCTACTGCCGCGACTGCCACGACTGCCACGACTCCCGCGATTGCTGTTGTGTGTACCATTGGAAGAATTACTACTATTGTTCGTTGTTTTGGCAGTTTTGGCAGTTGTCGTTGTGGTGGTTGTAGTACTGCCGCCCTTGTCGTTGGTGGACATGGTGCTGTTGTTTCTGGAAATTATCACAAAACAAACGGCATATTAGCATCACTACACGACCCCCTTCCCACTTTAACCACTAGGCGGAAAAGTGTTGCCCCTGTCGCTTCATCACTAGCCTAAAAATCAGGTACGGCATTTCGGCAATTACCCCTTACCTCCACAACGTTGTCTTCTTCATGGATGCGGAAGACTAGACACCGTCCTTCCCAGACCTCTTAGCGCAGCCTTCTTGTCACTCTGTCGCCGTGCACCGAGTCCCCGCTCTCTATCGCGTCGCACAGATCGCGCCGTCGCGTGCTCGTCAGCAGCTCTATTCCTTTCTCTAGCCTAAATGGGAGCCCCCTCAGTCAGCTCAAAACCAGCTGACAACTGAAATGTTACTGATAAGTACGAATTGATTTAACCAATCACAAGGCGCTTTCAATCTGAGAAATCTGAGGCGAAGCCATCTCATCAGTCGCACCACTGACCCGCTCAATAATAGGCTTGACGTTGCCGCTCGAACGACGGAGTGCGAGCTCGTTTCCGCGGAGAAAAGTCCTCGCCGACGTCCGTGGATCGATAGACGCTATTAGACCGATTAAGACGCGGGTCACGCGACGAAACGCGGCTCTCGGTGGTCTGAAACACGCTGTGCGAGCGCTTGCGGTAGTCAGTGCCTGTGGTTGCACTCGAGGATTGTTGCTGCTCTCGAAACGCGTAGGCTGGCGGTTGACCAGGCGGTGGTGGTGGCACGAACTCCTGCTGTTGCGGACGGTAGTTGCGTCCCACACTCTCAGCGACGTTGTAGTCGCCGTGACTCCGCGGCGTGGTTGTCTTTGACGTCGAAGCCCCGTACGCTGCCCGCTCCCGATTCACCTCGTCGATATACGCTTCAAGGCAGTGCACCATGTACTGACTTCTGTCGATTGTCACAGCGCACGAAAACTTCTTGTGCAGATCGTGGGTCGTGCCGTTCTCAATGTCGGCTTTCAAGTACCAACAGCGCTTCATGTGGTGCCCCACTTTGAGGCAGTAGAAGCACGAGACGGGCCCGGAGTTGTCGAAGCGATCGTAGCTATCGTATTTCTTGTCGTATCTACTGCGTGGTTTGCGCGGAGACTTCTCGTAGCGGTTATAGGATGCGTACTTGTCGTATCCCCTCTCAGAGTCGTATTTATCACGCGAGTGACGTTTCTCGTAGCTGTCGCTCTTGTCGTGTCTGTCATCGTCCGTCGTCGGACTTTTAGATGATCGAGGAGTAGGAGCTTTCTCCGTTCGCTCCGTGGGAGTGTTGCTGTTATCGTCAAGTGATTGAGTGTTAGTTGGGCTCTTGCTTTTTGCTGAAGTCGTTGGTATCTCCCCACTCGTTAAGTCGACAGTGTTGTCAGTTGCACTAGTCACATCAATAGGCGATGGAATTGTCTTGCTCGGATTCGCTGTGGTAGTTTTTGGCGCCTCTGCTGCGCGCTGTTCTGCTGGCTTTTCAACGGGTTTACTCACTGGTTTGGACGTTTGCTTGTCTGCTGGTTTGCTAGCTGAGGTATCTACTGTCTTCTCTGAAGGCTTGGCGATAGGTTGAGCTACAGGTTTTACTGCCGCAGGTTTATCCGTTGACTTCTCTGCCGATTGAGGAGTTTGCACGTCCGTTGAACTGTTGGAAGAGCTGCTTGTAGCTTTTACTAGGGCATTCGGAACACTTGCTGGCTCTGTCTGTGTTTGCAGTCGTTCCCGTGATGCAACCACTTTTTCCATGAGTTCCGCATACGGTACAAATGGTCTGATCCCCCTCCATGACGCCACCATGGACCTCCATGCACTAGGAAGCGTTTGTGTCAGTGACACGGAGCGAAACGCGTCGGTCAGCTCGATCCCCGTCGCCACCGCATATTGCTGCATGAGCATATCCCACCGCGTGATAAACTCCCTCACAGGCTCTGCTTTCTTGTCACCAAGTCGAATGTGGTGCAGCACTCGGTGCATCTCGTACACGTCATGAGCTCCAGGGTTGCTGCGGTTGTCATAAAGCGCACAAAGCATCTTCCAGCTGTCGTAAATGTTCTTGTTGAGGATCGCCGCCTCCACGTCCGGATGCAAATAGCGTTGCAAGATTCCCTTGGCCTCGGCACTTTCCCCCAGGACGTCCCATCGACTGAGTCGTCCCCGCTGAATCGCAGTGTTGCGACTACCAGAAGTTTCCTCCTTGATCATTGATTGCTGCTGCTCATCGTCCACGTGGATTACTAGCGTTCGGGGTGGCACTTCCTCCCCGTTGTACGTGAACGACTGACTCCCGTCGTAACCGCGCACCATCACGTAGCCCAGCAAGTGGTAGCGCATGAGTTCGTTCTCCACCCGCGCTCTCCACACGCGGAAGTCCGTGGTGCCGTCAAACACTCTGACGCTGCTGCCGATGCTGGTCTCCATTGGTTCTTCTTCCCCTCTGTACTTGGTTTCAGTAAACTATGTGCAGCGAGGGATCTTCGTGCAGCTGACAAGGAGTTTCTCGAGACTCGTCGGTCTGTCCAAAGTTTGGACTCCAAACTGGCGAAAGTGCTCTATTTATGCGCAGCCTGGCACAAATATTTGTGTTGGCACGTGACAAAATGCACGATGCCGTTTGCACGAAGACGAAGGTCGTACATCAAGCATATTGGAGGTCTGGTTAAGGAGTACAGTGGCAATGTACAAGACATTTATATCTACATGCAGAAGCGCACGAAGTGTGGATAACAATTTCTGGCGATCTGCGCGACCTCGAACACCGATTCTGGACGACTGCTGGGTGGACATTTTCCTGGACATAGACGTTTCACGAGCTATGGGCCATTGCTATTGCCCATTAGATGCATGGTCGTACTTGTACAACCAAACGAAGAGCTTCTTGCCGTTGTTACGCTTTCTTGGCACGCAGTTCATGCTCAATTTCATCCCGGAAAGCTCATGGTTATCACGTTAAAGTAAAGCTCAATGCACAACTGGATAAACGCAAGCAGATACTCTGCCGATCTGTGCTCCTACGGTGACTCTCCCAAATGGCGCTCAAAAGAGGGAGCCCGTTGCTGCTTCCGCGGCGGGAAGGAGAAACTCGAGTTGACGCGACACGAACTCGAGGATCTGACAGATCTCCCATCGTGATAAACGCTTCGCGATCGCACACCTCGAGATGGACGCCTGCTCGTCAACGGGTGCACGCTACGAGAACGCTGAGGCACGGATCGCACCGGGGGCGCTTGGTATTTGCTGAATCCATCGCGAGTGCCCTGAGGTCCATAGCGACTAAGGTCGGTTTCGCGCTTACGCTTCGTATCTCGTCGAGGCTCGGACGCTCGATACGCTGTGCGCTTCGTTTGTTCGGTGATGTACGCTTCAAGCGCTTGTACCATCGCCGACGTTCGCTTCTCCGTAACCCGGCACGAAAACTGACTGCGATTATTACGGGTGTTACCCGTTTTGATGTCTCTGTCAAGATATGTGCAGTCTCGGAAGAAGTGGTTCTCTTTCAAGCAGTAGAAACAAAATGTGAATTCCTCACGAACAGTCCTTGCCGAGGGCAGCACATGAGAACTATTGGGTACACTGTTCTCGTAAGATTGAGCCGATTGGGATGTATTGTGAACATTGTCGGGCGGTGTTTTCTGCGAGGACGCTGAGCTGTTGCGCTGACGTTTCTCCTCAGCAATAGCTTTCTCTCGTAGCTCTTCGATCGGTATAAACGGCCTTTTGCCGCGCCACGATGCTACCGTAGATTCCCACCCCCTGGGCAGTTTTCGCTCTAACATGGCAGAGAGATAGGAGTCTGTCAACTCAACACCCGTAACGTGCATGAATTGGCGCACCACCATTCCCAATCGCGTTATAAACTCGTCCATAGACTCGCGCTTCTTGTCGCCGTAATATATGTGCTCTAGCACTCGATACTTTTCAGCGATAGACGGATCCTTGCCGCTGTCATACAACTCACGCAGGATGCTCCAAACATCGAATACGCTCTTGTTGAGAACAGCAGCCTCGATATCCTCGTGCAATGAACACTGCACAATGTGCATAGCCTCTGCAGCTTCTTTCACTGCGTCAAATTGACGAAGTCCATCGGGATACTTCGCTTCTACGAGTTGCCCTTTGTAGTCGAACGACTGGCAACCGTAGTAGCCCTTTACCAACACGTACCCCAGCAGACCGTGTCGCATCAGCTCGTTCTCCACTCGAGCTCGCCAAGCACAAAAGTTGTTAGTACCGTCAAAGATCATTGTGCTTTGGTTGCCAGTGCCACTCATCGTTAGCACGCCAAAGACAAAATGAGCGATCCCTGGGTCATACTGCTTCAACTTGGAATTTCAACCAATCAGCAGCTTCATTTCACGCCCGTTACCTATTGCTCTTTGATAAGCCGCTTTTTGCAGCATGGCAGATGCAATTCGCGATGGCGATGGCCGACGCGAAGTGGGAGACGACGCGATGTGGTCACTGTCATCTGCCAAGCCTGGCAACGGCGTGGACCAGTTGCGCGACAGTGCGTGCTCTGGCTCAGTTTGGTGAAAGGCAGATTGAAAATGATGCTAACGGTCGCTTCCTCGCTGGTGTAGACAATATGGACACGTACTGGCAGTCGGATGGCGTCCAGCCGCATCTGATTAACATCCAGTTCTCCCGCAAGATGGCCATCAAGGAGGTGGCGCTGTATCTGGACTACAAACTGGACGAGAGCTACACGCCCAAGAAGATCGCTGTCCGCAGCGGATCAACAGTGCACGACCTCAAGGAGATCCACGTGCAGCACATTGCAGAACCCAACGGTTGGATCTCCATCCCATTGCACACGGACGAAGGATCGGAACAGGTTTATTGCATTGGTGGCGACGGTTTTTGCTGCTTAACACTTGCTGACGGCCGACTCTGCTGTTACGTCTGGTAGGCTCCGCTGCGCACGTTCTTCTTGCAGGTTGTGATCCTAGCCATGCATCAGAACGGACGCGACACCCACATCCGACAGGTGAAGATTTACTCCCCGCGTGAGTCCAACGTACTCGACTGGTCCATTCCGGAGGCCACCACGCTGCAGTTCGCAGCGTACTCGTGTATCCGTTAGCGTCAGCGTCTCGAGCGTATTACACACCTCTCCAATTACACATCAGCAGCAGTGAAAGTACTTAAGCGGCATGCAGAGCTCCAACTGCATTGATTAATCTAAAAGCACACACTCATCCACCGGCAGTACCGAATAGCAGAGTGACCGAAAGCGAATAATTCTCAATTTATGACGACGGTGACGGTTCTCGGTAGTTCGTCTGCTGCGCCGCGTTCTTAAACCTGCAATCGGCACCATGAAAGTTAGTATACACTCTCATGAGCTGCCGTCTCCTTCGCTGCACGTACACGCCGTTAAAGATGCGCGTCATGGAGGTGACCTCCTCGTCCGTACGCGCCATCTTCTCCACGTTCTGCGACAGCAGTGCGATGGACGCGTGCAGCTCCATCATCTGCGCCGCCAAGTCCGCGTACGCCTGCACCTTCTCCTCGTCCATGCTGCTGTTTGAACTATACAACAATAAATATACAACATCACTCACAAAAAAATTTATCCGGACTCAACCGGATATGCAAATGTACGTCAGTCGGTTGGTTGCTGGTCACTTCATCATTTACCTTAAGCGCCGCACTCTTCCAGCAGCTCCGCGGCAAGATGAAGGACGAAGACGATTTCCGCCTATCCAAGGCGGCCGAGAACCAGTTGGCTCGCACACTGCGCAATGAGGAGAGCGGGCGTACGCGTCACACGGGCCGTGATGATCGTGCCACTACGGAACAGGTGCTGGACCCACGCACCCGAATGATCCTGTACAAGATGCTGAACCACGGCATCGTGACGGAGATCAACGGATGCTTGAGCACGGGTAAAGAGGCCAACGTGTATCACGCGCGACTGCCTGATGGCCGTGAGGGCGCCATCAAGGTCTACAAGACGTCCATCCTGGTCTTCAAGGACCGCGAGAAGTACGTTTCAGGTGAGTTTCGCTTCCGCCACGGCTACTCCAAGAGTAACCCGCGTAAGATGGTCAAGCTTTGGGCCGAGAAGGAGATGCGTAATCTGCGTCGTCTCCGGGACGCCGGCATCTACTGTCCTGCACCCATTCTCCTACGCTCGCACGTGCTGCTGATGGACTTCATCGGCCGCGACGGCTGGGCCGCCCCGCGCCTGAAAGACGCCAAGATCAGCGACAATCGTTACCGCGAATGCTATCTGTACTGCGTCAAGATGATGCGTACAATGTACCAGAAATGCCGCCTAGTGCACGGCGACTTGAGCGAGTACAACATCCTGTACTACCAGACCAAGCTCTACTTCATCGATGTGTCTCAGTCGGTGGAGCACGAACATCCAAGTGCCAATGATTTCCTTCGTAAAGATTGTCGAAACATTGCCGACTATTTCCGCAAGACTGGAGCACTGAACCCCATGACGACGCAGGAGCTGTTCGACTTTGTCACGGACCCGCGCATTGCTGATGAGGATGTGGACGACCATTTGGAGGCGATCCAGCGCGTGATCGCTGATCGCCCTGTGGAGCGTACGAATGAAGAGCAAGTGGACGAAGCAGTGTTTATGAGTACATTCATTCCTCGCTCACTGGGCGAGGTGCTGCATTCTGAGCGTGAGCAGCTCGCGTACCAAGAGGGAACAATGGAGAAGTCGTTGGTGACTGCAATCTCGCGCCTCGAGGTCGAGCAGGGAACGACTCCGGCTCCAGCCATGCGAGGCACTCGTATCATGGATATCTTGAATGAGGGAGACGACCAGGAGATCGATTCTAGTGATGACGATAGTGACGAAGAAGAGCAGAGCGAGGGCGATTCCGACAGCGAATATGATGATGAAGACGACGAAGAAGTGTCACCGTCCGGAAAAGTGCCTCTGACAGACGAGCAGCGAGCTGCGTATCGGCAAGAAAAACGTGAGGAGCGCGAAAAGCAAAAGGCTCTGGACAAGTTGAACAAGAAGGCACGCAAGCAAGAAACGAAGGAGGAGAAGAAAGCCAAGCGACAGACAAAAATCCCCAAGCATGTCAAGAAGCGCCACAAAAAGCTGGCACACCAGAAGAAGAAAAAATAATTTCTCAGTAGCGATCAACGGCTTTGCTGTATTTTGACAATCAATTCGCCTCACCTTCTTCCTTCAGTTGAGCTTGCGCCTGCTGCTCCAACAGATCAGTGCGTGTGGATCGACCGCCTCGCAGCATTTGAGCAGCCCAGCGACCAATCTTGCGTCGACGCTAGTGAACACAAGGATTCATGTTAGTGTATCACATCCATTCTGCATGAGAACAAAGCCGCCCTTTTGTGCAGACTTACGTGGATGTAGACAGTCGCAGTTCCCCAGCTCATCGTGAAGTTGAGGCTCTTGACCACTTCGAATAGTCCTGTACGCAGCACGTGCGTTGTCGAGATGAAAAACGCGCCCTGCTTGAGCTTCTCGGCTGCCAGAGATATCTTGGTCCACTTCCTGAAGAAATAGTAAAGGATAACAAGAGGTTAGCTCTGTTTTTTTTAATGCACTTAGCAAGTCATTGGAGTTCGTACTGGTCGTTGAAGCATGTGCCGTGACAGAAGACAACATCGCCATCCTCCCACTTGGTTGTGAGCAGACTGCCTGTAATGAAGTCGATGTCCGTCTTGAGCAGCGGGGACTTGAGTTTCTCTAACGCTGTCTTGCGCTTTTCAGCACAATGAACAAGCGGCTGTGTTGAACGATAACTCTTGTTACAATTGTAGAACATCACACGACAGTTTGAGACTTCTCACCTCAAGCAGCTCGATTCCGATAGCTTGATCGAACGGGTGCACTAAGCTCGCCGCGATGACTGCCTTGCCCGTGCCAGATCCCTGTTATGCACAACATAGCAAGGATAAGTTAGACCACCCACCCATCACACGGTCTTAATTACAGCAACTCACAAGGTCGTAGAAAATGGCAAATTCCGGCAGAAACGGAGCTACCCAGCGGATGATGTCGGCAAACGGGAAGAATAGGATCTCGCCATACACCTACAGTGTCCAAATGCATCATGTCGGTAAAATTAAACAAGGCTTTCTGTTGACGCATAAATCACTCACATAGGAAGATTTGATGAGGTTGGAGCTCTTTCGCGCCTCGCTGGACAACTCCTTGGCATACTGCACAAAATCATCACCCAATTAAATATTAGCGAACTCAATCAATTGCAATGAAAGCAGCTTGTCGACGGACCTCGGCACCAAAGCCACGATACACGCGCTCAAACACTGCAAAGGGCTTCTCGAAGATCATACCCAGCACAAAGTCGGACACTTTGAGCTCAGCAATTTCCTCACGAGTGACCTAACATAATAAATGGAACAAGATCATCACATCAGTACACTTCGTCTTCTCCTTCCTACAAGCAGCTGCTGCCTCACATCCGGCACAAGACGCTTCATGTCCTGCAAGGCGCCGCTGCCTCGAAGCTGAGCCACGCCCTCTGCCGAGCGCAGCAGCGTCTCCACCTGGTCACGGGCTTCAAGTGCCTTCTTCTCAGCCTGCAATCACCAGAGAATAGTTAGGTAAGGTGGAGGATTAGTCAACGAATGACACGTTTGTCGTTGGGTTCCAGAGCCGTCAGAGCCAGTAAAAATGAAAGAACAATTGCACCAATATCAGACCTGCTGCCACGTCTCGTCAGTCGGGTCGTAGTCGCGCAGCCGCGGAGCCAACCGCGTAAGTTCCGCTACCAATTCTTCCAAGTTCACCATCGTATGTCAATTGACTTTCTGCATAGAGAGATTCGTTCGTTGATTGGTTAAAATTACCGTTATGGTTTCTAAAATATTGATAAATACTGTATGCTGGACGGAATCACTTCGCAGACATTGTACTTATATTGTCAAATATTAGAGTGCCAATTTGATAGGACCGCCGACTTTTGTGCACATTTTTGCGGATTTCTCAGTGTGTAGGGCGAGTTGAGAGGCACTGTTTAGATATGACACTATTATAAGCCCTAGCTACATGCTACTTGTGTTAACAACTGTAAGTTTGTTTTTTTGGTAGGGTTGGCATACAAACTGTCGATTTCTGCCCGTGCACCACAACTTAGGACCGTGCCCTTTTCTGTCAAAACGGACATTTTTATGAAATTCAATACAAACTTCTATATTAAAATATCGTACTTTAGAAGACACAATGACTGGAGGAAGCAAGCTGCAGCAAGCACACTGGAGGCTTCCTCTGCCGCGCTGAGCCTTTCATTTTCGTATGGGCCGCGAAGCAGCCCTCACACAGAAAGAGTATTCGTGGGTCATTGGGCTACACGACGGTGGGGTCTCGTTAAGAGAGATTTCAAGGACAACAGGACGCTCACGCTCAGCAGTCCGGCGCGCAATTAAGGCAGAGTGAGGGTTGCAGAGCGACGACTGTGGCGAGCGGCTGAGGGCAGGAAGACGACCCGTGCTGTCGGATCGAGACGTGCGGCAGCAGCTGCAACGGGCGACTACTTCGCGGCTGAGCACAAGACCAAGTTCAGCGTGAAGGCCTCGGTGCGCACTGTCCAGCGGCTGCTGAAGAACGTGGGCCACCTCGTCTACACCAAGATGAACAGGACACTGCCGTTAACGGCGGCACACAAGAGTGCACGAATGGCGTGGGCTGAGGAACACATCACTAACCTTGTTATGTTTGTTAACCGTGGTGCATTTATACTATTAGCGATACTAATTTATTCTTATGCTGCGTAGGAGTATGGATGAATATAGTTATCTTTCCAACAGATAACAGGAGAGGATTGTGATCAATTCGTCCACTGTAGTGTTTTTTTTTTTTTAGCTAATCACAGGGTTCTGTTGTGAATATTCCAACCAATAATATCGATTAGGGAAGGGCTAACATTTCCGACGCATTCCAACAAATATTTGTCGGAAAAAGACGGCAATATGAATATGTTCATACGGAGCTCTAGTATAAAACATATTTGCAACATATTCTCACATTTCCTACAATCAGACCAAACTAGGTCCATTCCTATAGTAGGATTACAGCATAGCGTAAGGATAGCAGCCAGTCACTTTCAAAAAGCAGACGAGACGAGTTGAGCATGAGTCTCTCGGTGTTTGTCCCTACGAACACGCAAAAAGCGCGTGTAACCGCCATCGGCGCATTTAAGCGAATGTTGGAGGAGGAAAATGTTAGTTTGGAATTCGTCCAAGCCAGCATTCTCCTCGACATCTCCGGTAAACGCTTAGCTGCAACAATGGACAGCTTTGGCTATTATCTCGCAACCAACGAAGGTAAGAAAGGTAAGCTTGCTCGCAACACTGCGTCCTCCTACTACAGAAATGTAAAGCTGTGGCTGTTTGATGAGTATCCCCACTTGCGTGTCTCCACCGAGTTAATCTTGCTCAAGCAAGGGAAAACGCTGGATAAGCACTGCTTAAAACGTGACAATGGTGGCTTAACTAACAAGGCTCCTCCCTGTACTAAGGAGGATTTAAGGTCTTTGGTTCATTATGTATACAGTACTGCACGCGTCAACGCGGACAACCAGGATGCTGCGCTAACGTGCCTCATGTGGCACTACTTTAGGAGATCATCGGATCTGTGCTACGTCCAGAAGCAGCACGTCTCAGTGTCCGCGGATGGCGTTTTCTACTTGCGTCTTCTCCGAGTGAAGACGTCGGAGGAGCAGGGCCTCACGCTGATCCCCGACAAGGACGACTTCCTGACGTGCCCGTTGCACTCGCTAGCCGTGGCGCTTGTGACGCAAGAAGCTCCAAGCGCGTCCCTTTTTGGCCACTTACCGACGATGGCTCCACAGGATGCTGCGCCACTTGATGCTGGTGCCCCGCTCCACGACCTGCTGTCACAGGTTCCCGAGGCTCTCCAAGTTGCAGTAGTGCCCCAACCTACAAGCATACAACCGACCGTTAGCACTATCGGGGCGCCACCCACATCGCTGGACAAAGGGGTAAAGCGCGGAGAAGACAGCATGCAAGGCCTTGTTAATCGACTGCTCAAGCGCGTTGCTGAACCGGCAGGTGTCACGGCAGAGCTCACCTCCCATTCCTTCCGCCGCGGTGGTGCACAACACGCGAACGGCGACGACCGACTTGCAGCGCAATGGATATTTGACCGAGGAGCTTGGGATATGACGAAGACCAACAAGGCCTTCGCCTACATCACGAACACGACGCGGGAGGACAGGAAGGTCGCTCGGGTCTTGAGTGAATGGGGCGCTGATGCGTCGCCCAAGGTGATCGACGTCAGCTCTCAGGACCACACAACACGCGAGCGGCTTGCATGCTTGCAGGAGCTGTTATTCTCAAGCTGCACAGGTCTCAAAGAGAGCCGACTAAACATGAGCGCAAAGGTTCTAAGCGTACTCACCGCTTACCTTGTTCGACACTTTCCCCAGCTCAAGGCTCTCTCCCCGGCAACACCCATTGTCCAGCGCATCGAAGAATGCATGAAGACAGCTGAGATCTCGACAGCTGACCTACTTAAGTGGTCCATTGCGCTCAATGAAGAGGCCGCCGTGCCTGCTCAAGATCAAGAAAAACCGCAAGATACACCACACACATGTCCTAAAACGGGTCACCTTTTGGCTGTTATTCAAGAGCTTGTTGCGTCAAACCGCCTCTTAGCTGAGCGGATAACCATTGTCGAGGCAGCGCTACTCAAGCCCAAGGGATCCTGTGAACAAGAAGCCTGACACCAGCACAGCCAAGAAACGTCAGACCAAGAACCAAAGCTTAAGCGCAGAAAAAAACAAGCAGCAAACCTGTCAGCCACTTGGTTCGAGTGGTACACGAAAGTACCTCCAGTGTGGAGCTGTGCTGACTGTCAGAAAAAGTCGGAATCGCGCCAAGTGGTGGCCTTCATGAAGCTCTTCATCGTCGGCGGCTGGACGCTTGATGTCGAGGCTGAAGACTACAAGGATCAAGTCCTCGACGCCGGTCGCCGGGCTGAGAAGGGCTTGCTTGCCTTCTTGAAGACCCAGAATGTTAACGCGAAAGGATCTGGGAGCGTCCTTCGTGCGCTTCGACCGCTGCACAAAGCCGGCATCCTCGACGGGCGCATCGTGGCGTACAAGCGCCTTCTTGCCATTGGGAGCATCGGCGACCCTGCACCGAACGATACGCAAGACATCCTAGCAGTAGCAGGCCATGTTTGAGTCTAGTTAGCTCTTGTTAGTACTGTTAGTACAATACACATCATACAACAGAACAGAGTGCACACACAGCAATAACAGTAGCATTGCCGCAGCTGCGACAATAAGACGCGTCTCACAGCAGCAGCACATCGTCCAGCACCACTTCCTTAGCATCCAGCAGCAGCAGCAGCACGTCGCCCTGTAGCAGCAGCATCACGTCGTCCAGCGGCAGGGTCGTCCCGCAGCTCACCATCCAGCGGCAGCAGTCCAGCAGTCCAGCAGTCCAGCAGCACGACAGCACTGCAGCACAGCACCCGCCTTCCTCATGAAAGTGCCGGTCGGACTTGAACCGACAACCTCAGGGCCGAGACCCTGCGCTCTTTCCTTTTGTCGCTGCGTGGGCTCTATCGAGCAAGAGTACCTCCTTAAGCTTCTGGAGTCCATGCCTCGCCGCTGTCTCGATGTCATCAAAGGAAAGGGTGATCTGACTAAGTACTAACTTTAATATAGAAGTTGGTATTGAATTTCATAAAAATGTTCGTTTTGACAGAAAAAAGGCATGGTCCTAAGTTGCGGTGCACGGGCAGAAATTGATAGTTTGCTCCAAGAAAAACAAACTTACAGCTGTTAACACAAGTAGCATGTAGCTAGGGCTTATAATAGTGTCATATCTAAACAGTGCCTCTCAACTCGCCCTACACACTGAGAAATTCGCAAAAGTATGTACAAAAGTCGGCGGTCTTATCAAATCGGCGCGCACGGTACTATTGTACTGCTACGGATTCGCACAATTTATGTGCCAATTGAGAAAAAGAAATAAACGGTAAAGTTTATACCTTAAATAAAAGGAGGTGCCTACGTTCACCGATATTCTATGCATAAAAAGAGCAACTTTCATACTGGTAAAACCCAGTAAAAGTAATAGCTCTGTTTCTCAAAAAAAATCAAAATTGAAACGTCCTGCAGCCGCTCATTCCCTTCCCTTTCGCGCTCAGCCTGCCATGCGGGACCTTGCACGCTGTACCCTCCCGCTTTGTCGACACTTGTGTCCCGTCATGGCCTCTAGGCCATCACGATGACTCTGATTCCGTCTCAGACTCGGTTTCTCGTGTGCAATTAGACGGCAGAACACGATCTCGCCGTGACCCAGCTTCTGGAGCGCTGGGAGAGGTACCTATAGCCGTCACTTGCCCTGCTTTCTCTAGCACATTCGCATCGTGGGCGGCTCTAGAAGATGCCTTTCATCGGTACGGTGCACGTTAATACTACAGGAATTTTTTTTGTGTCTTATTAAGTTTTCACTGACTTTTATTACTTGTGACTGAATACTAAAGATACCAAGAAGAAACTCACCAAATATACAAGCTAAGGACGAGCGCCTCCGTTCGCGTGAGAAACCGAGACCGCATCAAAAGAAAAGCACTGCATGGAACTAAGCCTGTGTTGTGCGACGAGGAATTGCAGTTTTACCCGAAGCCTTTTATCTGCACTCATGGTCGGAAGTTCAATCCTCGCGGGGGCGAAGGCCGAACAAACCACACGTGTCGATCTATTGGTTGCATGGTGCGGCTAAACGCACTGCTTAGTCGATCCGATGATGGCTCGTACAATGTCAGTGTTACAAAGCACACACCCATTCACAACCACACCGTACGTACGCTGAGAACTGTAAGATCGACTCTCCCTGCATCAACAGGGTAGCTAAAACAATGTGGATAGGTACGTCATTGCAGTTATGCAGTCAAATGATTTAGCTGTACAAGTGTGTCGATATTAATTAAATTGTGTGCATTCTAGGAGGCTCCAAACGGAAAAAATTCTTCGTTACTTGAAAGAGGTGTCTAGAAAACCGATCCAGCCAAACGACGCGGAGACTCTGATCGCTGAAATACGACGCGAGATCTACCCCCACCCCTGATGACAATGTCCGTGTCTCCCAGTTATTACATGATTTTGGAGAAGGACCCGGGAACGCTGTCAACATATATCGTGACCCAGCCACGGAGCTGACAAGGTGCATTACCTTCCAAACAGCTCGCATGAGACGCATGGCTCGGAAGTTCCCTGAGGTTCTCTGTGTCGACGCCATACACGGTACCAACATTAACAGGCAAGGGGAGTTTATTGACCTGCTCTAATGACTGGAGTTGTGGCATGTTCACCAACATGTTGGTGGAATCTTCACAAAGCTACATGTATTTGCTGCATATTAACCAATTCTTATCTATCTTTGCGTACTTGAAGATATCGCTTGTTCAGTTTTATGGTGACTGATATGATTGGGACTGGCTCTTTCGCTCAGCACGCCTTAATCGACGGTGAGACCAAGCTCAACATGAAGAGTGCAGTCAAGGCATTTAAACAGAATAATCCAACTTATTTGGACATCAAAATGGTGGTCGTGGATAAGGACTTCAGCGAGATTGAAGTGTTAGCTGAAGCATTGCCGGAGGCCAGGGTGATTCTTTGTCATTTTCACGTGATATATAATTTAAGCGCGAGATTAGCAAGGTTTATGGTTCTACGACGTTTGAAAAGACGCATGCAAAGAATTTGGTTACGTTGATGGCGCGGACCACTGATGAACGAGAATTCGACCGATATTTACAAGCTCTTCAAACTTTGTCGAAGGACAAACCTCAATTCTACGAGTACCTAGAGTCCAATTGGTTAAGCTGCAAGGACTACATTCATGCGTGGGAACATACCTCACTTGAACAACAATACGAACAACCGATTAGAGGCTAGTTGGGGCGCTGCAAAGATATTCTCGATCGCCATATGCCCATGGATGAATGCATCGACGACCTGCTTTTCCTACAACAGAATGCTGAGGACAAGTATCGAATAAAGACGAGGCGAGTTGGTTTTAGGTACAACAATAATTACTGCAAGGAACTCCAAATGTTGGCGAGGATTGCTACGCATCATGCATGCGATCTGGTGGAAGGTCAGTATACGGCAAGCAAGGAAGCTGACTACACTATCGAATCAGAAACACTTCACCAACGATATTCACGTTGACAAGTTCTACATCCCTAAATCAATTCACGGTAAGCATACCTGATTTGGAGAATATTGGAGTTAGTTTCTAACTGAGAATTCTATGTGTGTTTCAAATCTCCGGTGAGCTTGGAGTCTAATACATGTAGTTGCATGTTCAACCAAACTCTCCTGCTCCCGTGTCGGCATAT